CGTTCATTCAAAAAAAGAAACGGTGATACCTCAGTTGCCACAGAAATTTCGTTGAAACTTGTATCGACCGTAAAACATTTATCCAACAGTACGATTTCCGTTATTTTCGAAAATTAGTTATTACATTAATAAAATCATTTTAACAAAAGAAAATATTTCATTTCCTATGAGTTTCAATAATGACGTAAAGAATTATACAACTTTGACATTGAATAGTGATTTTATCCTACATGATGGTTAGAATATAAAAAATCTTTATCTTCTTTATCTTATATCTAGATTGTATTAAACAAATAATGATCGCAAATGGCCAATATTGATCCAAAAAATCCAAAACACTAAATAGTTAACTTGAATATGTGGACAACTTTTCAAAGTGTTACCTTGTGAATGTGATTTATTCGTCTTAACGTCCTTTATACAGATGGTCCTTTTACTCTTCCTATACATTGAAACAGCTCATAACAGTAAACTTCACCATTTGTCTTAAAGGCTTCTACATTTGTTGATCTTGATTATCAATAGTTTGACGCCCTAGATATATTATATAATTTCGTCATAAGACGAGGTTAAGGAAATAATGGAAAACTATTAACGACAGGTATTGTCATTTTTAATCACTTTAAATTAGTTTTCAATATCAAGACATTTATAATTAATTACGTGAGAAATAAAGATAATAAGTAATTAAACTTATCGAAGTAATATTTACCTTCTTAAAAAATGTTAATACTGTTTAGCTTGGTATTTATGATGTTCATAATTTCTCTTCAAACGCACAATAATCTTTTAACTAAATTATAATATATATTTTTTAATGGAAAATATGTAGTGTACTAGGGAATACAAGTCAGGTTTTGCAGCTTTTTTTTCTTCAGGTATATTAAAATATCAAAGCACTACAATTCCCTAAAAATTGTGCTTTAAACATAAACATTCATATTTCAACTCAATTTTCCCAAATTATCAAACACATAGGCGCAAAATACGAAAGAACATCCCCGAATGTCTGTAAAATGAAGTGAGAGGGCCGAAACACAGTGGATCACACAAAGCAGTCGAGTGGTGAAGATAACTGGGGAGCTATTATCCAGATTATCCTTTAAATGGAATAAATGACCATGAGGGGATAGCTGGCTCGTTCCTCTGCACCTTATCTATTTTCTTTGAATGCTTTAAATTCTATGTTGTTCCTGCGCTGCATGCAGATACCCTTTTAGCAAATTTATGCCATAACATAAACTAAAAATTTTATTTTAATTTTGTGTTTTATTGCTAATATTTTTTTATGGTCAAAAAGTCGATCCGTTCAAATTTATTTGTTTCTGTCAATTATGCATACGAAATATTGGAAAATAAAAAATATCAATTAGATACAATGTATATGGATTTTCAAATAGTATTTGATCATGATGTATTATAGTTAAAATTTAAGTGATTGAGCTTTCTGATAATTATCTTACATTGAAAAAAAAATGCTTGAAGCTAACTCTGGAGTTCCACGGGGTTTCAATCTAGGATCACTATTATTTTTACTATTTATTAATGGTGTGAGAAAATCGGTTTTAAAGTTTCGAAAACTGATGGGTTAAATAACCGAAAAATATTGCATGTTGCATCAGACGAAAGATTTGGATTCGAAATCTTATATTCATCTTGTCAGTTTGGAAATCTCTGACTATGTCAGCGATGGCTTAATTGGAAGAGCGACTGTGCGTAGAACAGGGGTAGGTGGGTTTAAATTCCTGCGCGGGCAGTTCTTTTTCAATTTTTCATTAAATTTTTTCTCCTTTGAGGTTCAAAAATAATTTTTATTATTTCGTAGAGGTAATATTGGAATTTGTTTAGGGATTTCCTGGAAATTTATATTTATTAATGAGATACCTTTTTTCTTAAATATTCGGCTACGTTATCAACCTGTAGGACTTTGAGCTGAGATGATGGATATTCCTAGACAACTAGCAGGTTTTTGATGAATTGATAACCTGCAGGACTTTGATGACCGACAACAAGCGGGATTTTTACGAGTTCATAACCTGTTTGACTTGATGAGCTGGGAAAATGAATGTCTCCAGACACCACTTAGCGACAACACACAAAATTGATAAGTTGAGAGACAGGTCTTCTATGGCCCTACCCTGTAGGATGCACAATGTACCTAATGAGTTGTGCTGTAAATCAATCCGCCCTTCTTACCATAGAGATACAGAGAGATGAAGTATTAAATATAAACTATTTTTCAATATAACAAATGTTTCTGACTAAAAATGGTGCGTTATTTTTCGATGGTGTCTTAACTAACGCTAACGCCCACCACAGGGACTGGGGAAGTACCGACATCAATACACGAGGTGAGCAACTCTATAATTATATAATCGGTGAAGGGCTTATTGTTAACAACGTAGGTTCGGAACCAACTTTCGTGACGAAAAATCGTGCGGAAGTTCTAGACATAACAATCAGTACGTCGTTTGTGAGTGCCAATATTGTTAACTGAAGGCTATCCACCGAACCTGGGGTCATCCCACTCATTTTCAACCTAACCTAACCTAACTAATGAGAGCCTTAAACGTTGTAATGAGGATTTAGGTGTCACATATGTCAACTCATTACCTTTTAGTAATAATCCATCCATCCATCAAACTACTGACGTATCAATTGATGCGTCTGAAATTTATAATGTATTAAGTACTTACGGTAACAATAAAGGATCAGACTATACATCGAGTTGATAGCAACAAATACAATTAAATGTTTTTTTATTGTATTTGTTGTTAACAACTCGATGTATAGTCTGATTGAATCAATGTGGAAGGTATCTTAGACGTAAGTTTTGTCATGTGTTAATATTTAAGAATTTTAATTTGTAACGCCTTTTAGGACGGCTTTGATGATGGCTTTGTTAAGCTGAAAGCGTTCAGTCTAATGATTAATAAAAATTTTCCTATTTTTTACACACTTATGTACTTATTTCACTTACAAAAATTATAAAGTTTTATGCCCAGTCGATTTTGGATATAATATGTCTCAACTTACTTTTATTCCCCCAGAAGTCTATAGTTGAGCTCTTTTAGAGATATTTTCTGCAATCGCCACGTCATTTTCAAGTGTTTCTAACCCTCAATATCATATTTATTATTAAACCGAATTTATGTACTTTTTTATTGAAATAGGGTTGGTACGAATTAGAAAATATGTCTGCAAGCAAAACAAATGAAGAGGAAATTTTGAATGAGACGAGGCAGCATCTCTTTAAAATTTTATTTTCCAGAAGTAATGTTTGAATTAGCATGTTTACTTAATCGTGAATACGTGTGCCCTGAGCATCAGACCATCCAGAGCCTTTTATCTAATATTCATTAATTTCCTCTGGTTCGGTAGGAAACAAAAAGATTGCTTCGTTACTTCTGATATCGCTTAATTAAAAAGGTATGTAGGTCCTCCGAAATAAGCAGATATTCATCAGTGTCCCTTCCTTGTTTCTGCACAAAAAATGCCTCTCTGCGAACATGCTAATCGTATTTACCGGAAGATTTAAAATTAATACCTGCTATTAAAATTTATTTATGAACCCTTTCTGTTCTAAAATCAGTTTAAAAAATGTTAAGGTAGATTAAATAATATGGAATGAAAAATGCAATTTAACTGTGACTATCTTACTTTCTACACTACGTGTAAAATAAATAAACTTTATTTATATTTACGGTTATAGACACCCTTTCAAAATAATCTTCAACCTTAATTACATGTTCAATTGAATTTTTCCAGCTCACAGTATGAATGTTATTAATTTCTAATTTATTGTTTTCACTATTTGGCAATTTATTTAATTAACAGCCATGATATCTTACATTTTTCTTTACAATAGCACTGTTATATGTTAAATTTGGTAATATATAGTTTTTAAACCAGTTTTCAAAGAGTTCTGCGGTTGTATCCTGATGATAATCCAAATCTGACTAAATCCTGAATGTTTTTTGCTGATAACAATTAAATATTTGGAATCCAACCTTTTTCTGACCCGACATAAATTATTGTAATTCTTTGTCCTTCCCTTATTAGACGGAGCTTTCTCGATAAATCTATTCAATCTATTACTTGCATATCATGGGTGTCATACCATGTATCGTCGAAATAAATAGTTGATCTGTTTTCACATCTATATCGATTAATGTGGGAACCGTATGAAAAAAAAAATAATCAAGGTGACTTCTAACTAAATTACAATATTAGTCGCAGGTCTTCCTTAAAATTCACTATCTAAAAGATGAACGTTAATTGTATAGTCAAATTAAAAAATTATGAAAATTTAAAATACATTTTTGTGTTAATGAACATTTAAAAAAATATTTTAAGCATATACTAAAATAATTACCGGTATTTTAGTATATGCTAACGTTAACGTTTAAAAATAGTTGAAACATTCTACTTAGTATTTCAAGTATTGCAAGATATGGCCAGTGTTTTTTACTACATATTATTTAATTGATTCCGGCAGAACCCAAATATCGTAAACCGCTGAAAGTGTGAAATCCCTCTGGACGAAACACCTAGGCTTGATTTTATCGGTCTCAGGACACTCTTCCATTTAGGATAAACGTCCTCGAGGTCATTTACAATCCTAACATCCTCATCCTCAGCCTACTCTCGCTTTCTACGATTATTAGCTTTGGATACGCAGCTTTACGCTGCCTTAGGCTCTTGCCTCACATAAGCTGTTATTCCGGTCAAATTTTTATAGGGAAATAGATAAAATATATGAACCAGAATATTTTATTACAATATTATATATTTTAAAGTGCCATTTTATTAAATGAATCAAACTAAAATAAGTAGTTAAAATCCACGACAAGGAAAGAATCCTTCTTTGTCGATGTTTTTATATAAATAAAGATGATATTTCCAATTGTTATCATTTTATGGTGTGGAAAAGATTAAATAAACAGAACCTTAAAAATTAAATAATTTTCACATTTTTTTAATTACAGGATGATGGCACCATGGACCACGACGTAGATGGGGATGGTGTTATCAATTTATCTACGTCACAACGACCATCAGCAGCAACGACACCAAATAATATTTTTCAGCCAATTAATACAGAACCGGTGAGTGAAAAAATATATTTATTTCTTAAGTGTTATTTAAGCGGTTCTTTATTTATTAAACACCTATATATCTCACCAACAATGTGGTAAAATAGTAATATTATAGCGGATCACACCGCAATATTAGCAGTTGTCCGAAATAATACAAAATCAATCAAAAAAGTAAAAAATAAAAATAAATCAAATTAAATCGGTGTATGTTAATTTTTCTCTTCTGCAAAATAAAATAAAATAAAATAACAGATAATAATATGAGGTGATGAGTGAAAGACATTAGGCTGCGTGCTCATTATAGATTAACAATAGTGATAAAGAGTTTCCAGTAGATACCACCACAAGAAATCTTAAACATTTTATAAATAGTAATATTGGTGCGTATCAATTATGTTGGTTGAATTTACTTCAATTAACAATGATGTTTATATAATCAAATATAAAATGATTTTTGAGATGCAAGTTTCTGGCTTTTAGTGTTTTAATAAATTTAAATCAAAAATAAATTTTAGATGAACTCACCTTAATTCACAATTCACAATACAAAATACAAATTGTAAAACTACAAAAAAACTAAAGTTTCAAAAACAGATATCTTCTACCCCATGCACCTTTTCACTTCGCTAAGTTAATTATCGATCGGGCATCTAGCAACAAATGAATTCGTGACCGATGCAGCGTTTAATATATAAAGTTTCGTATATTGCAAGTTCAGACAGAAAAAATACGCTTGTCCACTCGTTGGCTCGTAGCAAGCCAAATTTCAAGCTCAAACATGAATAAAATCAGATTTGTTTGAGTTTACACAATTCATGTTATCATGTTACGTATTCGATCGAATAAATGCTATTATTGGGTACTCTCATTTGGAAAGTTTATTATTTTCGAGAAATTCGGTTCCCTCGTCTCAAAGAGTAAAAATAAAATAATAAACAATTAAAAAAACAATGTAATAGCTAGCAATTCCTTACTGGTTTTTTTATCATTATAAATTTTGTTTTGACAATGTTATTTGTTGCTTTATCTTTTTTTTTTACTTTTTACTTTTGAGTTTTGAGGCATTTCGGCGCCTCGGCGCCGTCGTGCACCACACGTCTTTGCCCGTATGTACAACGCGGGCCCGAGTTTAGGCTAAGGGCTATGCTATGCTATGGCAGGGACAATATTAAATTAGTCTATAAGAATTGTAAAAGTTACAGAATAAATTCTTAAGGTATCTTTATTAGACTGGATTACAATATTGTTAAAAAATGCAATAATTAAGGAATAAATTCAAAATTACTTAATTTGTAAAATAATTAATAATCCTAGTAATTTTTTCTGTTTCTCCCGTCCAATGTTTCTAAATTAAAGTTAATTTACGTTATAGCCTACCGTGATTTAAATATAAATAATTTTTTGTTTATATTTTTTATAAATTTATTTGGTAGTTTGTGAACTAAATTCTTCGATAGGTCATAAAAGCAATATTGCGGTAAAATTTAGTTCAAATCTGGCGCGAGTCCCCTAAGAATGGATGTGAAAATCGGTCAATGGGCTTAGGTAGAGTAAGATCCTCGTCTCCGGGGCAGCTGTATAAGGGCTAGGGATAGAAGAGCAAAAAGAATAGGGATAGGGATAGAGAATACGACGTTGATAGTGGTGTCCTTTCTAATCAAGACGGCTTGGCTGGGCTGCGGGCTGCCTACCGCTGCCGCTGCACAATTCGCCGCCTCCCTTCTTATCCATTACCGCACTCCAGTGTCGTCGAGAAAACAGTTAAAGAATTCGTTATGAAGTGCAGAAACGTTCTTAAGATAGTTTTTCCTAGAGAATATAAATATTTTTTTTTCTATGTACTGATTTACGAAATATTTATCTTTAAAACCCATTTAATCCCGTAATTATTTTGGTCGGAATTTTTAATGAAATTAGCTAAATACAGCGATATAAATCTGTTAAATACAAAAAAACTATCAAAAAAGTTCCAGGAAACCAGTAAATCAAAAAATTAACTATGGTCAATATTTTAATAATAAGTTTGAGACCTCCAAATAATAATATTTTACTAAATAACTCTGGGTGGTCAAATGTTATCTATTACTAAGATATAGGGTGTTGAAGTTAAAATTTATTTTTCGTTTTTTTGCAATAATTTCTTTATTATTTAACATATTGACCTGAAATTTAGTATGGTTATATTTTTTAGTTAGTTAATCATAGGAATGTTATGAATTTTGAGATTATATAAAGAGGGCAGCACCTACACTTCTGGGTGAAGAAAACTATCCATTTTTTAATCCTAACCTTTTTTATGATACATCCTGTAAATTTAAACAAAAAAAGTATACTTGTTTTAATAGCATAAATTCAGCTCATATCGAGATTTTTGCATTTAAAATATTCTAGCTACAATTTCTATTTAATTTGCTATACCAACTCAAGTTTAGTCACTACTTTTTAAGGGTGATATCTCGGAAAGGGGTGGGCTGAGGAAATTTTGTTATAGGTGAGACTCATCTTAATTTCATACGAGCAATCACCCCCTGAATTTTGTCGAATGAATTTAGAGAGACCCTGTAAATATCGACACGCACAATATTAGCTTCTGTTGAATCTGTACATTCTGAAAAACCTGAGTGAAGAAAAAAGCAGAACGGATAGATTTTTTGACTAAATTTTCAATGGGGTTTAAGTCAGAACTTTTTGCTAGCCATGGCAAAACATTTATGTTGTTGTTGATCCACTCTCTTACTATTCGATTCGTATAAGCAAGAGAATTATCCTATAATAAAAATAAATTATTATAAACATTTACCAGTAAACCAAACTAATTTCTCACATTTTTAAAGGTAAAATTGTCAAGAGGAACTTCTCTTACTGAAATGTTTATGTAATACTTGGTTGTTAATCGCCCATCAATATTCCAGCACATTCTATTTTCACATTTCGATTTCCTCAACTGTACAACATATTATGGGGGTTCATCATAGAATTTGTATGGTTCTTGGTGATGGTTATTATTAGTTATAATCTGTTTTCTAGAATATATTCTTGTTTTCTAAATATTTCTATGGTTACTTCAGGAGTATAAATTGTTTTTAATGCTTTTACAAAGGTTTTTCAAATACTTCTTCTTAAAGTCTTTGCTAGAGGATTTTGGCTGTTTTTTGAAAAAGACAATTCCCATGAATAATTCATGAAATAGAAAAAATAATTTTCTTTATGGTTTTTAGGTTAATTTGTCCAAAGTTTATTCTGGGGATATTTAGGGGATGTTTCAATAAGGTACAAGTAATGTTGCCGATGTAAATATTTGTAGTTTTTTAAATACTAAGTATGCAGCAATAGGGTCAAAATTCTTTTGTGAAACCACCAAAATTTAGAATAAGAATAGACAGTTTAAAAATAACAACTTAAGCAAAAAATATTATTTTGTATTAACTCTAGTAATTGTTTTTAATTAGTCAAATTGAGTTCTCTTATAAGTGTATATTAACTAATTAATAAATATGTAAAAGAGGTTGGTTTCTAAACAAAAATCAATACAAAAGTTAGTGATGCAAACACCGCATCGCAATCCGAATGATTCTACCACAGTCACAGTCTATCCCATTCGAGTGACGACTCTACAGCGGAGACATCTGGCCCAAACTCTTTTAATTAAGATGAAAAATCCAAATGCATTAACCAAAAGAGAGAGAGGAAAAAGGATAAAGCCAAAAGAGAAAGATTAAGTAAGCGTCATGGGCGTCCTTTTAATGCTGGAATTGATATTGAATATGCTATTATAATTAAATTATGTATTAATATCAATAGCACATTCGCTTATGAATAAACACCTAATTGGAAAAGTATCTATAAAATAAGAAGCTAGAAGAACTTAATTTGCCTCCTCTTATTTCTTCTTATGTTTGCTTTTTCCATTTTTAACAATTAGAGAATTAGGAAAAGAAGTAAAATTATGTTTTGATACCCTATATATTTGTATATTTATTGTTTAATAAAAAATATTTTTACTATACTTGTATAAACAAACTTTTCCTTTTTTGTTTTTCATCCTTTAGTGTTAGGTATCTAAATTTACCATAAAATGTGGCTTAAGACAAAATGAAGCTTATATTTAAAGTTCACTCTAAACCAGTTGCATAATGTTGAACATTTCAAAAAATTTATTGTCACCAGTTGCGAACAGAAAACAAATAAAAATAAATTGGTTTTAAATCGTATAGTTTATATCATAAAAATAAAATTTGCTTAAAATTACCTAGTAATAATATTGTTTTGGTCCTTATTTTCCATTCTAAATCAGCACAAAATACTTAAAATACTTCACCACAAAATAACCCATTTTCTTGAAATTAAAATAACTTTAACAAATAAAAAATTGAAGTTAATCATATGCAACTAACAATACAAGAAAATGGTAATATTGGTTCTTAGATCATGTCAGTAATTTTTTACCAAAATACAATTTTATAAATAATCTGGTTTCATAAACAACTATTCTAACGAATTTTTACTAAACGTGCTTTAACAATTTTTTTATTTATTGAAATATTAGCCACAAAAATGTCATGTTTTGGATTAAAATAGTAGTTTGTGCAAGAGTGGATATGATAACCATATCGCACGAACACTAGTGTTATACGGATAATCTACTCTAGATCTAGAAATTTAAAAAAATTACCTAGAGGTTATTACGATAAAATAAGTATTTTAACAATAATTTATGATTTTTCCCAATTATTTATAAAATAAAATAAACTTGAAAAAAAATACTAGTTTGTGCAACAAGAGTGGATATGGACAATCCACTCGAGTTGTACAGCATATTTTTTCTACGACCCGCTAACGAAAATTATTTTAGGTTATTAAGACAAAATAACTAATTTTAAAAGAATTAATGACTTTTTTAATTTATAAAATAAAATTAAAAAAAGATTTAATTTATTTAGTTACCCGCCCCGATTTAAAACCGGGCCTTTCGCGTAGAAGACAAACGCCGTTGCCTCACCTCCACCTCC